GCGGCGGCGGCGGCGGCGCAGCACAACAGGGCGAGGCCGCCCAGGCTCGGCAGGCTCCTCATGGCGCGCTCGGCTCCGCCATTCATTCATTCAACCAGTCGGTTGGTCAGTCATCTTCTCTTCCTGGCAATCCGACCGAGGAAGCCGCCGCCGCCGCCGCCGCCGCCGTCGTCGTCGCTGCCACCGGGCGCACCATCGCCGCCTCCCTCTCTGACAGGCGGCCGGCCCCGCGGGCGGGCCTCAGCGCGGAGGGAACGACCCGGCCGAGCGCGGACAGCCCGCCCTCCTCGACTGGCAGCCGCACCTAGCCAATGAGAGGCCGCTCTCGCCCACGTGACCCACCCGCTTCCCGGCCTCTTTGTAGCCCAGCAGACCAATAAGAAGACATCGTGGGAAAAGGGGCGGGACGTAGGGCGGGAGGAGGGTGGTGCGAGCGCCGCTGGAGCCGGCCGGGCCAGCGGCGGCTCCCGCTTTGTCTGCCCGTAGAGCCGGGCGCGGGCCCTCCGGCACCCGGCGCGGAGGAGCAGACAAAGGACGCGCCCCGTGCGGCAGACGCCGGGCCAAGTCCTCTGCTTCACCGGGCTGCCAGCGCGACCCGGGGCGGGGATTCCTCTCTCCGAGTGACCCCGCCTTCCTTAACAATGGGGCGCCGGCGCCGCACCCCGGTTCGGGCAGGGACTGGCCTGCGGCCCCCCGCAAGGAACCAGGTCTACCCTGCGACAGCCTTGCCTCTGTTGCCAGGAGAGCCTCGGCCCTGCGAGGTCTGCGCTGCCATTTCCACTTCAGGGATGGGGAAACTGAGGCACGCCCCCACCAAGCACCTGCTTGTGGGCCTGGCTCATCATCAGTGGAGCCAGGCTGGACAGGGCCGGTCTGCAGACCCGTCCAGGGCACAAGGTGCTGGACTCTTGCCTGGGGAAACAGACTCACCTCGCACACTTTACCCCAGGAAGACCAGAATCTGACTGGAGTTGCATCTCCGCTTCTAGCGAAGTGGTTCAGGGGTCTGACTCCGTTTTCTCACCACTAAATGGAGGTGATGGGAGGCACCCCATCCCCCTCACAGAGCTGATGGGAGAATTAAATGATGTACATAATGGGCTTAACCCAGTGCCTGGCCCACTATGGTAAACCCTCATTAATGCTAACTACTCTCAGCGAAGTGTGTCCAGACAAGCCTTGGGTTGGAAAGCAGCCTGAGGGCCTCATCCCTGCCGGGCTCCCCCAGAGACTCTGGCCTGTTGTCACAGAGATGGGGGTGGGGCTGACAGCAGTGCTTCACCCCGGATGACTTTAAACCCTGGGTGAAACTGCAAATCAGGCATGCGCAACCTCATACCATCAGCCAGGACCATGGCAGCGCAGCTTCTAGGGGCAGCCGGGCAGGGCAGGTTTGTCATCTGATTGGGCTTAATCCCAGCTATGCAGCTAACCCAGTCCTGGCCTTCTTGACGCCTCCCCTACACGGGCGGTACTTGTGCTTGGTTTCCCATTAGTCACTGGACTCCAACCAGACCAGCAGGATGAGATTTGTGTGCAAACGTGTGTATGTTAAAGAAAGCATGCCTTTATTTTCCTGCCTGAGTAGTGGGTGTGGAAAGGATATGTATGTGCTTGGGTGGAAAAGCATATGTATAAGTTCATCTATGTGAGTTTTATACCTGTGTAAATCTGAATATGGGAACTAGATGTTATTTGCATGGTTTTTTTTTTGTTAATAATCTGTGCCTACCTAGTGGTTGGGATTGTTTGGTTGGTTGTTTGGTTGGTTGGTTGGTGGTGGACACTTGAACTTATTGGCTTTTTCACTTAAGGTTGGCGCCCTATCCCTGAGCCAATCCACTGCTGGCATTTTGCTAGTTAATTGGAGGCAAGTGTCCCTCATATTTGTGTGCCCAGGCTGGATTTGAACAATGATCCTCAGACCTCTGCCTCCTGAGTAGCTAGGGTTACAGGCATGTGCCACCAGCATCTGGCTGATGTGTGTGTTGTATTTTTGAATTTGTGGTTTTCTCTAGGTGTGTCCTGACAAAGCTGTCTGTGTAAGGAAGTGGGGGCAAAATGAGAGGGGTGTGTGAACGTTCTGGTTTCAAGACCAATATTTAGCAAGCACTAACGAGCTTCTATTTTTACTTCTGTTTAGGAAGGGAGTGAACAAGACATGCACCTTCTTTCTCTCCTCCTCAGCCCAGCTGAAATGCCACATTCTCCAAGAGGCTCTTTTGGATTTCTAAATGGAAATTAATCTGCCCTTATTTCCCCACCTCCTTTATTTTATTCATTGATTACCAACTTGATCTATCCATCTATCTCTCCCTGCCTCTTCCTAAAAGGATTAAGAATGGCCTTCAGAAATACATACAACAGGATAAATTGAACTGCCCACACAGCTTTCTTACTTCTCCCAGACAAGCATCAGCCTTAATACTAGAACTAGTGATTGATGGCATCTTTCTGTTCTCAGTGCCTAGCAGGGGCAATACAATGTGAGCTCTAATCCATGTTGATTAAATGGAAAAGAGATCCTGTGGTGCCCCTGGGAAAAGCTTGTATCTTTAGCATCACAGACTTGGATCAGGGCTCTGCCAACTGTGTGACCTTGGGGAAAACCTTTGCCCTTACTGAGCCTCTGATTCCTCCTCAATACCATGGTATTAAATCCTCTCTCATGTGGTTTTACATTTGAGAATGGAAGAGATTTGTACAAAGCCTAACACATAGATAATGCTCAGTCTGGGTAACTGTGAATTTCAGTCACATCACTGCTATCATTAAACTTCATTGGTAAAAAGACCAGAGCAGAAATCTCTGGCCTATAACCTCCCCATAAGGTGATATGGCTTGACAGTTGCCCTCGTAGGTATTTAATGTGTGTGTGTGTGTGTGTGTGTGTGTACACTGCAGTCCTGACTTGTGCTATATCAGAGGTTCTCTGGAAGCAGAGGAGAAAGGCTGATGTGGCTTCTCTGCTAGGAGCATCTTGGAATGAAGGACTGGAAGACCTTGTAGAGTAACTCAGGGCAGCTCTGCCTCAGGCAAGAATCACATTCAAGCCAGAGTTCTGATGTGGGACAGTTAGTCCACAATATGTTTAGAAAGAGTTGAAGTGGTTTTTCTTTTTTAAAGATAACTTTTCTGAGACAAAGTCTTACTATTTAGGCCAGGTTGGCCTCAGATATATCAGCTTCCTAAGTACTGAGATTACAGGCATGCACCATCACATCCAAATCTGAAAGATCATTTAAGTGTACTAATATTGCTTCATTCAACATTTAATTCTTCAGTTCATTCCCTTCCCTTAAAAAAAAGACGTACAAGATGACTTCACTATTTGTTAAGAATATTTAAATTACATTTTAAAACTGGAAACATCTTAAATATATAACATCAGAGAAAAGTTATACCATGTCTATTCCATTTAATTCTATAATGTCATTGCAATGTTAATGATAACTGACATCTTACAGGGTGCTAACCATGGTACCAAGAGTTATTTCATTTAATCCTTAGAACTCTATGAAGTAGGGGCTGGGAAGGTGGCTCAGTGGTAGAGCGCTTGCCTTGCATGCCTGATGCCCTGGGTTCAATTCCTCAGCACCACATAAGCAAAAAGAAAAAAAGCCAGAAGTGGCGCTGTGGCTCAAGTGGTAAAGCGCTAGCCTTGAGCTGAAGAGCTGAGGGCCAGTGCCCAGGCCCAGAGTTCAGGCCCCATGACCGGACCAAAAAAAGAACTCTATGAAGTAGGTACTATTATGTCCTAATCTATTTATACTGCTGTAACAAAGAAACATAGATCGTGTGGCTTATAAACAGCAGAAATTTTATTTTTTACAATTTTGGTGGTTTGGCTCATGCCTGTAATCCTAGCTACTCAGAGTGCTGCGATCTGAGAATCCTGGTGCAAAGCCAACCTGGGCAGACAAATTACAGAGACTCATCTCCAGTTAACCTGCAAAGGGCCAGAACTGGAAGCATGATTCAAGTATTAGAATAACAACAGCTCTGAGAGGGGGTGGGTGGGGAGTTGAGCAAGAGTTCAAGGTCTTGAGGTTCAGCATCAGTACTGGCAAAGGAAGGAATTAATGGAGGGAGGGAGAGAAAGAAGCAGGGAGGGAGGGAATGGTGGGAAGGGAAGGGAAGGGAAGGAAGGATCCCAAGATCAAGATACCAGCAGATTCAATGTCTGGTGAAGAGCCTATCCGGTTCATTGATGGCCATCTTTTCACTTTCATCACACAGTAGAGGAGACATGGGAACTTCCTGGGGTCAGGAGTTAGGATTTCAACATATGAATTTTAGGGGGACACATTCACCCTATAACATATTATTACCTGCATCTTACAGATAAGGAAACTGTGGCACAGAGAGATTTAGAAACTTGCCTAAGGTCACTTAGTAAGTAGTAGAGCCAGAAATCAAACTGACCTAGCTGGTTTGGGCCGGTACCCTTAACAATAAAGGAAAAAATGGTTATGAAATAATGTTAGGAAGAAGAGAAGATTGTCCTTACAGCTGTGATAATATGTATCAGAATGTTGGCTGGCACTCTTCCTTTAGCCCCAGAAGTACATTTAAGGTCCAGGGTTCATTCACAGCAGCTGGAGCCACAGAATAGCAGGTGTCAGAGAGACCTTGTTGGAAACTCTGAGCAGCATGACCATTCTCCTGTAGGAGACACAGGTGCTATAAAGGACATACTTCCATTCTTCTTTGAATGGGGCACTAGCTCAGAATCAAATACAAGTGGTTCCAGACTTGTTGAGTTACAAGGAGTCTTTGATGTGTCAGGCACTGCTCAAGTGTTTCGCATTCTTAACAAACTCATTCCTCAAAGGTTAAGACTCTGTCTGTGCTTGAAAGAAGAGGAAATTGAGTCTCTGAAAGAGGTAAAGGGACTTGCCCAAGATCTGCCTGACTCCAAAAGCCAGGTTCTTCTCTTTACTCCACAGTCCGTTAATGTGTGCATTGTGCATTGCACATAGTAAGAGCTTGATGAGCACATTGGAAGAAAGAACAGACACAAGCTAAATTTAACCCACTCAGTAGGTCAGCATTTAAGAAAAGAGAAGCACTGGAAGAAAGAAAGCATAATAGATGTAGCTCACCCAGCTTCTCCCAGGCTGTAAAACACATACATGCTGTATAAAACACATACGCTCGTGTGCGCACGCACGCACACACACACACACACACACA